CGCTGCTCGGCGGCGGCGACGGCGTCGACGAGGCGGTGCACCTCGGCACGCAGCGAGGCGGTCTCGCGCGTCCGCTCCTGCAGCACGGCGAGCAGCTTCCCCCGCTCTGCCTGCAGCGAGGAGAGCTGAGCGTGCAGCGAGCGCAGCTGCTCCCGCGCCTCCCGCAGCCGCACGTTCGTCGCGTGCCGCTCCCCGGGCTGCGCTCCCCCGGCGCCCTCTCTCTGCGGCGATCCTCCCGTCACGCCCTCCTCCCCCGCGTCCCAGTCGCTCTCGTTCCCGCCGTTCAGCACGACAAAGTTGCGATCGTTTGCGTCGTCTCTGGGCGCCGGGCAATTGTTGTCACCGTGACGAACTCCATCGTTGCCGGACTCCATGTTACTGTCTTTCTCAGCCTCTGTTCTACTTTCTCCCTTCTTCTCAGCGTCTCCCAGATCACCTTCCTCCTTTTCGTCCTCTTTGCTACCTCTTCCTCTCTCTTCTCGTGCCGACTTCTCTCCATCCTCTCTAGCGGCGATCGCAGCCTTTAGTGAGCGTATTTCCGTACGGTGTCTCTCTGTCTCTTCCGTCCGCGCCACGTTGTCTCGTAGCAGACGCTGGTTCGCCACAGACGTCTCCGCTATCTGCTGTGCTTGTGCGGCCAGTGTCGCCTCCTGGCGGCCGTTACTCTCCTTCAGCGCCCCCAGCTGTGCTGTCTGCTCCTCCAGTTCATGCCTCACCGACGCCACCTGGTGGGCATCGTCGTTCAAGTGACTGCGGAAGCGGGCATTCTGTGCGACAGACTCCGCGAGACGCGCCTCGGCCTCCCTCGAGACGGCTGAGATGCGAGCGAGCTCCGCATCGAGACGTCTCGTCTCGGTCTCGGCCGCTCCGCGTTGCTCCCGGAGCCTCGTCGTCAGAGCCTGCCTCTCCTGCTCCGCCTCGGCTCCTCGCGTCTCAGCGTCGGCCAGTGTGGCGGCGAGGCGCGTCGCGTCTCGGTCCCTCTCCGCGACGAGTGCCTCCATTATCACGTTCTCGGCCGCCTTCTCGCGCAGCCGATCATCGAGCTCGCTCGCCTCCTGAGCGAGCAGTGCGCACCGTCCTCTAGCGTCCGCCAGTTCTGCTGCGGATGTCGCAGCCGCCCCCGGCGATCCTTCCCGCCCGTCCCGTTCATTGTCGCGCAGCGCCCCCTGCAGGGAGTCCGTCGCTAGCTCCCTCTGGTGGACGAGATTCTGCCTCGCGAGCGCGGCCTCGCGCTCCAGACTGACGTTCTCGTGTCGCAGCCGCTCCGCCTCCTGCCGTGCAGTGGCGCCCTCTGCGTGCAGCTCGGCCATCTTGCCCTCGGTGGCACTGAGCTCTGCCTGCAGTCGCGCCACCTTCTTCTCGCCGGCCCGCTGCAGCGCCACCTGGTGTTCTCGCTCCTCCTCGAGCCGCTGCTTCTCCGCCATCAGCGCATTTATGGTGGCCTCCGATTGGCTGTGCTCGTCGCGGTGGCGGCGCTGCGTGCGCGCGAGTTGTTCAGCGCCCTCTATCACCTGCTGCTCGTAGCGTAGCTTCTCCTCGGCAAGGATCAGGCTTGTCTCATTGAGCGCCTCCAGCTCCCCCTGGAGGCTCGCGATTGTACCACTCAGCTCGGCCAGTGTCTCGCTATCCTCTGTCGTGGTGGACAGCGGCGTCCCCTGGTGGCTTGTCGCTGCATCTTCTCGCTGCTCCGTCGCGTCATTCGTTACCGTGTGCCGCTCCGTCTCTATGCGCTGCACTTTCGCCTGCAGTTCGAAGTTCTGCTCTTGCAACGACGTGACTTGCTGGAGCGAGGCTTCCAATCTGGTCTGTATGTGTGCCAGCTCGCCGGCCATTGTCTGGCTGCCCTGTGCTGCCATCTATATGAGTACGTGCAAACATACAGTCAGTGTGTGATAGCCACGTGTTTGTGCATGTCTGTGCATGGAGGCACGAATGCATCAAGTACATGCGTGCATGCTTGTGTGTGTATGTAACTATGTAAATACATGTTGTGCATGCAGTTTGCATAATTTGTAAGTGCATGTATATGAGCGTGCGTGCATGGGTGGGTACATGTTGTACATGAAAGGTACATGTGTATATTTTGTGTCTATGTGCATGTGTGTGCGTGCGAGTGTGCATGTGCGTGCGAGTGTGAATATGGGTGTACGCGTGGGAGAGTATGAGCTTCACGTTCATTAATAGGGATGCATATATAGCTCAAGTATACATGTGCGCAGGCATGTGTACTCATCAAGAGAAGCAGGGATACTCACTCGATCTGCTATGTGTTTATCTTTCTCCTTGCTCTGTCTTCTTAGCTTCACCACCAGATCCTCTAGAGCACCTTTCTCTACGTCCCACTCTGAGCTGGCCTGCTCCAGCTCTGCTATTCTTGTTCGGTAACCGCCTTCCTCAGAATATTCATCCTGCGGACAAAGAACAGCACAGATTAACCTCCCATCAAACGCGTAAAACCGTCAACCGAAACCGTCAACCGAAACCGTCAACCGTCTCCCATCAACCGAATTGCGACTAATAACGGAAGGAAAGGAAAGAATAATGGCAGAGGGAAACGTGAAAGGGGTGAACAAAAAGAGTGAAACAGGGCAAGTTGGAACAGGGTAAACTGTCTGAAGAATGAAACATGTTTTGAACAGAACATGAACCAGACGAAGAGACATGTTTACCTCAACAATCTCTTGGCTCTCCTGAGAGAGGTTATGCAGGGTCACATTGCTGGTATCGGGCGCCTCTACACTGCTGTAGTACTGTGAGAGATCACCGCCCTCCTCCACACACCTACACAAATACATCCAGCATTGTTACCAATATAAAGCCATCAGTACAACCACACATTTATTGCATATCCATACGTGCATATCAGCCTAAAGATAACAAAAGATGTAGAAATAATATTGAATGCACAATAGAAGGGACAGTTACTAGTAAATATTGCCATGGCCTGATACTGTAGCTAGTATAGATGCAGAAAAGGGTTGATTGAACAGGATTTGGACAGTCTTTACTTTTATAGACAGTCTATACAGCTGTGCAGAAATCTATATAGGACAATAGATAGCATAAAAACGATGGAAGATAGTCTAATAGACCATAGACCATAGACTGTCTCCATAGTTACGGTCAATTTATGGCCATGGCTGTCTCCAAGGCTATAAAACGTCTGTACGACTACGTTGCATGTATATATATATATATATATATATATATATATATATATAACATATATATATATTATATATATTATATATATATATGTTGTGCTTGTACAAATACAGCTTACCTGCTCTTGATGGTATTCTGTACTGGCGTGCTGGTCAATGAGATAGCATCCGGTGACGTGGTACCAGGTGTAGGACTACTGATCTCTCGCACCTCCTTTAAAGTTTTGGCATGCATGATGTAATGACTGATCTGTGCTAGATGCTGCCTCAGCCTCCTAATCTCCTCCTCCGACTAATAAACAACAACACAAACAATTATAATAACAAATATAAAACTGCAGCTAGAACCCTCCTGCTTTTGAAATTAACAAAATACAACAACAGCCAATCCCACCCACCACAGTATGACAATACTCTGCAAGAATGCACATTCCTGCACGTAGAGTCAGGTACTCGCGTGAAGAAAAAGAACCTCTTGACTTTTAATTACCCAACAACAACAACAACAAGGGCAACAGCAGCAACAAGAGCATACCACAGCTAGAAATAGGTTGATCAGTACATATTTCCGAATAGATCTCGTGACTTAAGACCATATAATATAATATAAATAATATATATATAATATATATATATATATATATATATTATTATTATTATTATATATAATAATATATATAATGCAATATAATCCCATGTGTGTGTCTTATTCTAGATGAACTAGTAGAACTCTATTCTGATATGTAATACTTTAGACGCATAACAGTTTCGATACCAACCTTGTTGCGCTCCACGACAGAAGCCCGCAGTTGATCGTCGAGCCTCGCCCCTTGCTCGGCCCCTTGGCTGCCATCTTCTATAAAAAATCAAAAGGTAAATTAAATAAACTTCTGAGAAATTCTCCACTTGTAGAACGACAAAGTACTGCACTGCAGAGACAAACCAAGCTCACGGCCATGCTGTTAGACTTTATTATTTCTGCAGGTGCAGATACCTACACACTAGAATACCTACGAGACTGACAGCAATCACAGCCATCTCAGCACAGCTAGTAGCTCAGCACCACTAGCTACTAGCTACTAGACTCACTTGAGATCAAGTAGCAATACTGGCTCACAAAGTGCAGACTCTTACTGCGTCTACGGGAACAACAGCCGTTACGAACAAAACTAATGTTGGTTTACAGGCGGTGGCTAGTAGGGCTATAACTAGCTAGCAGCAACTTACCGCGTCTAACAGAATGGCGGCCACTACTAGCGTCGCGATATATAGCTGGCAGTAACGCGGCTACAACTGCTAACCGAATACACAGCAGACCTGCCACTGGATACCTCAGCACGAGAGGGTGTGCGTGGAACAAGAGAAGACGTTCGTGTGCACACGCGAGCGAGGTTGGTAAATCTACTTCCTCTCCCTCAAGCGCGGACACACGTAGGCAGGAAGTTAATCTAACGATGGGGCAATTCCTGGAGTTACAGCAGGTGTGCCAGAGATTCCTGTAACACCTACCATAGCAGTAGAAGCCTCCAACACAGAAAGCAAGCTCGTATATAAAAAGACAATATAAATAATCGATAATATATACGAAACATCTTACTAAGAACACAATAAGGTTGGGTGCGATACAGACAAACAGATGTAACAGGACACCTATCTTACCAAGAACATGGGAGGGTGGGATACTGAAAAAAACAGATGTAGCAGCAGACCTACCTTACCAAGAACACAGGAAGCAGGGTCGGATACAGAAAGACAGATGTAACATAAGAAACACGTTACCAGGAACACAGGAAGCATAATGTAGGCGCGAATACAGAACGGAAAGTTTAACAAGACAAGGTACCTAATTACCAAGCGAAACTGAGCTGTCATGATGCAGAAAAAAGATATAACAATAGAGCTATTTTATCAATATAAATGATATTGCTACGATAAGCATGTATATGATCGCTTGTATAAGATATAGAAGACCTGCAGGCATGTTTAGTCAGAACAACAAATATTACAGGATACACGCCTAGATACCAATAATAAAATTGGGCTAGGATACAACGAACATAGCAAGATAAGCAGCCTACTCACGCTGTGAGTTCACCAAGGATAGCTGGCTCACTGTGTGGCTACTAAGGACGTGGGTTCACCAAATGTTAGTTGCTGCAATGTGGTTTCAGCGGAAGAGTGTCCGACAGTGACTCGGTTTTGAAAAGCAGGTGAGCGTGTCCCACGCTGGGTGGAGCAAGTGTAGATGTCTGGCCGATGATTGAAGGCGGCTGACTGGGGGGTGTCGCACTGTGGGTTTTAGTTGATTTCGGTGGGTGTCACACACAGTGGGTGTCACGGGGTTGTGTACAGTGTTCGGGTGTAGGCAGTCAGGTAATCGATAGCCGCATGCCATAAAGTAAGCGATGTGCAAACAACTCCGAATTTACATGGCTAGAAGTCGAGAAACAGTGTGTGCGCAAGCAACCGAATGAGGGAGGGAGGGCGATAGATAGGGAGAGGGAAAGACGGAGAAGGTGAGAAAGGAGGAGCGGGAAAGGGAGAAACGGAGAGGGGGATAAAGGGAGACAGAAGGAGTGGAAAAGAGAGAGGACCGATGAGAAAAGTGAGAGGGAGGCGAAGGGGTAGATGGAGCAGCAGAGGAAAGGGTTAGGGAGAGGAAGAGGGATACGAAGAAAGCGAGGGAAAGAAGGATCTAGCGCGAGATCGAGCTAGCAAGGGAGGGAGCGAGCGAGGGTGTTAGAGAGAGAGAGAGAGAGAAAGAGAGAGAGAGAGAGAGAGAGAGAGAGAGAGAGGGAGAGAGCGAGAGAGGGAGGGAGAGAGAGTAAACATTCCAAGCTGTTATCGGTCTTCGCCTTAGGTTCACACTAACTCGTCCACCGTGGCTGTTACCAGCAGTTGGTCAACAACGAGAGCACACACAACACACAGCGAGAGCACACAACACACAGCCTCGCAAGTTAGGATGCGCCGTGCAAATCCGAATCGACTGACAACCACCCTCAGATCTATTACCCATTCAAGAGCGTTCACGTTATACATCCGTTTTCCGCTGCATGTTATGGGGCGTGAAGGTCCACGCATACCCTCACATGCACGCACGCACGCACGCACGCACGCACACACACACACACACGCGCGCGAGTGCGCGCACACACCATATGCTCGCGTGCGCACACACGCGCGCGCACGAACACACACGGACGCGCACACGCACGGACACACGCACGCACTGACGCGCACACGCACGCACGCACACACATAGATACACGCACCATACACGCACGCACGCACACACATAGATACACGCACCATACACGCACGTACGCACGCATGCAGACACAGGCACCCACTCGAGTATGGACACAGACACGCACGTTAGCACACGCGCACACCACACATACGCACGCACACACCCAAATAATAGTAATTTAATAATCTCAGTAATCTTACAGTTAATTAATATATTAAACTAAGTAATACAGCACACTATAGTTACCTCTAAGGCCTAGTGCTACGGGGCACATTTACTGCGTGCAGACACGCACGCAAACAGGCGTACGCAACATTCGCCAGCATGTGCGCGCACGCACGCACGCACGCACACGCGCGCACCACACATAGGCACGCACACGCGTGCACCACACATACGCACGCACACGCGCGCACCACACATACGCACGCACACGCGCGCACCACACATAAGCACGCACACGCGCGCACCACACATACGCACGCACACACCCAAATAATAGTAATTTAATAATCTCGTGCACACGCGCGCGCACACATCTCGCACGTGTACTTACGTGCGTGTTTGAGCACAAACACACGCGTGCGTGGTCAAACCTGATCGAAACATCACGAGTTACCTTTTGCCTTTCACGTGAATCGGCTGAAACCACCATCGAATGACATCGTTGATCACGCACTTACACACACAGGCTTAGTTAATACCCGTAGTACACGGACCTGCTAGTGCTAATGAAAAGCTGCACGCTCGCGTGCAGGCCAGGTATAGTGAGTGAGAGCGTGAACACGTACAGAGAGCTGAGCACGACACCGACATCGGCAGGCAGCACGGCGGCACTAGCAGAGACCGGCGGTCGGCATTACCGGCGCTCTACCCGCACGCAGTAGTCGGCAGCAGCTGCCACCAGCCGCTGATAGCAGCCACGTGGCACCACCTGTGTGTCCGTACAACACCTGTGCCCGCCGCTGCTAGCTCCACCGCCTCACGTCTACCTGCCCGCTGCCGCACTCACACCTCCCCGAGTATCCGCAGGCAGCGAACGGTGCACGCTGGGAAGTATTTATCTATCTTACCTGTCTGTACCCGCCCTCAGTAGGTCCTACCACGGCTGCTGCGGACTAAGAGGAAGATCAGTTCTCTCCTAGCCCAGCCCTGTGCGTGCCTACATGACTCCCCCACAAATCCCTGCTTGCTCTAACCACCCACCCTCCCCACACTCGGCCCTCCACCTAGGTTTCCAGCTGAATCTCTCACACTCACAACCCACGCGACCTGTCTTGCACACCCCCTACTCCTAACATTATTTACCTATGGTCCTATACACTCCTAACGTTTCACCACAATCTCTCACACTCACAACTCACGCGACCTGTCTTGCACACCACCCACTCCACCACAGGCACTTGAAGCGTTTCAATAAAATATAATGCTAAATAAATACGAAATCTATTTACTACCAAAGTCTTAATATTTCTATACCCTCTTTCACCTATTATTGCCGACAATTTCCTGTAAATGCCGTCCAAATGCTCATCTACAACAAACACTGGCTGACGCAATTGCTGCCGCTGCACACTGACACATAAATATATAGTGTATTTTATGTAAATATAGTAAACTATATAATTTATGTGTCAGTGTGCAGCGGCAGCAATGGCAGCAGCCAGTGTTTGTTGCAGATGAGCATTTGGACGGCATTTACAGGAAATTGTCAGCAATAATAGGCGAAAGAGGGTATAGAAACATTAAGACTTTGGTAGTAAATAGATTTCGTATTTATTTAGCCTTATATTTTATTGAAACGCTCCAAGTGCCTGTGCACTCCACTAGGCACTAGCATTATTCACCTCGTTTCACCACCCTGACTTCTCACACTGTACGTGCTTCTGATCACCACTAACCTTGTATAAGGAAAACTTACCTCTTCCTACATCACAATGCCAGGGTGACCCTCATTTCAATACCATTATATACCATGGCAACGTAAACCCTTCCTACACCATTACACTAGAGCAACCTACCCCTTCCTACATTAATATATCAGGGCAACAAGCCCTATCTATACATCACTTTACTGGAGCAACCTACCCTTTCCTACAATAATATACCAGGTCAAGCTAAACCTTCCATATACTACTATACTGGTGCAACCTACCACCTCCTACACTAATATACCAGGGCAACCTCACCCCTACCTATACTGCGATACCAGGCTAACTCTTTCTACACCACACCACTCGAGCTACAGACCGTTATCGTGCAGCCTCGGCGAGTTTTGGCTGAATGCCGAGCAAGCAACCAAGCCTTTATTAGCTCGCTGTTGACAAAGTCTTCAGCGTTGTTCAGGTACACACACTCGCGTCCTGTAGCGCTGCCCAGCATGGCAATAAACCATCTCTCACTGCGTGGCCCAATGTACCAAAGGTGAACAGTGTACGCTATCAGCTGTCAGCCATCTGAGAGAGTATAGTCGGAGCTGGTGATAGGGGCAGGATCAATAATAGCAGGGGTTGACACTGACAGAGTGCCTACCTGCCTACCATGAATTATATTCTACCATGCCTATCTATCTACCGCCTATCGGTTCTTATCATTTATTGCGCCCCACAACCTTGCCTATCTTCGTTTCTCCCCACCATCTCTTTTACCTTCGTCTATCTTCACCACGTGGTTTATTTCTATTGCCCCCACCACCTCGCCTACCTTCGTTTCTCCCAACCATCTTGTATACCTTCTGCCCCCCTCCCCCATGCACCTTGTCTAGTTTCGATTTGCTCCACCATCTCGCCTACCCACTATTCGCCGAACCACCTTGCTTTATTTCTATTCCCCACCCTCCCTAGCTTACTGCCAACCACCCTACCTGCCTCTGCAACCCACAATATTTGTGTCACGGTCACATCCAGATATGGTCGCCGCTACATAAGCGGTCTGCTCCTCCCTCATTCCGCTCCCTCCCACCCTCCTCCCACACTCCTCCCACCCTCCTCGCACCATCCTCCCACCCTCCTCCCACTCTCCTCGTGTCTAATTCTATCCAACCAATGGCCACACTTACCTGTAGTTGTTTCTGAGGAAGAGGTTGGCTGCTGCTGTCTCTGCTTCAGTTGACTCACTCTGATAGCGTGCGCATCTTGCAGTGCGGTGAGCTGTCGCTGACTGCTCTCCCTCTCCTCATCCAGCTGCGTCTGTAGCTCCTACACGACAACAGCCAACAACACGCGTGAGTGTCCTCCGCTTTCTCCTCCTCCCCTGCCCCCCCCATCCAGTCCCTGTCACACATGCTCCCGTCTCCCCTTACTCTCAATTATTCCCTTTACCTTCTTTCCCTCGTCCCCACCTCTTGCACATTTCCTTCATATACTGTTCGTATTCCTCCCTTAACTTTACACATTTCCTTCACCTTCTCTCCCACCTACCCCTCCCTTGTCCCTTCTATTTACTCATTCTTCCTTATCCCACATAAACTCGCTAATTTCTCCTTACTACCATCCTATTACCCCTTCTATTCACACATCCTTACTCCTTCTGCCCGCCCCAGCATCACTTCCATTCGCATATTCTTCCCTCCCCTTTCCTTTAAACATCCTGGTCCATTTACCTCAGTCTCCTGCCTTTGCCGGCCCTCATTGTCTATTCCGTGGAAATCCACATTCATACATAATGTGGGGCTATATTGGTAGTACGGTGTACACTATAGTCAGTGTTAGTGACGAAATCTACATTAGTGTCACCATTTAAATTAGTGATATTACATACATTAGTGCCAGGATGTGCATTATTGCCATTGGTATATATATATATATATATATATATATATATATAATTTGTGCTGTAGTGCACATTAGTGGCTCCATATTCTAATGTATGTTAATATGTCTAATCGTAAAATGTCTAAATGTATTAACATTAGCTTGACTGCGTGTTCCGGTGTTGCTTGGTTTACTGCGTGCAGTAGTGTAGGTGTGACTGGGTGAGAGTCACGCGCACGCATGAATGTCGGGCAACAGCTGCCAGCGCTGTTGATTCTGAGTGTGTACGTGTGCGTGCGTGGGTGCGTGTTTGTGCGCGCGCGCGTGTGTGGATGAATGTTTGTGCGCGCGCGCGCGTGTGGGTGGGTGTTTGTGCGCGCACGCGCGTGCGTGGGTGGGCGTTTGTGCGCGCGAGTGTGTGTAGGTGTGTGTTTGTAAATGCGCGCGCATGTGTACGCGCGCGCGTGCGTTTCTGAGTGTAACAGTGTGCAGAAGTACGCGTGTGCGTACGTGTGCACGCGTGTGTGCGCACGTGTGTGTTCGCGTGCGTGAGGAAGGAAGCGGGCTCAGCCCGGTAAAGGGTGCTGCCATGCGATCAAGGTTGGTCCATCCCTCTACATGTGCACCATCCGCAAGGAAATGAATATATGAGTGTATGCAGCTGTTACATACAGTCAGACGTACACACGTCTCACCACCGCAAGAGACAAGCCGATGCGTCATAGCTCCTACACACCATTATAGCCACAGCTATTATATATGTGCAACAACCATGTCTTCCACCGAACACTGACACTAGCTGTAGCCATAGCTGTTACCTACAGCTACCATGTCTCTTACAGACCACTGACAGTCTGTAGTCAGAGCTGTTACCTACAGCTACCATGTAGTCAGAGCTGTTACTTACAGCTACCATGTAGTCAGAGCTGTTACTTACAGCTACCATGTAGTCAGAGCTGTTACCTACAGCTACCATGTCTCGTACAGACCACTGTAGTCAGAGCTGTTACCTACAGCTACCATGTAGTCAGAGCTGTTACCTACAGCTACCATGTCTCTTACAGACCACTGTAGTCAGAGCTGTTACCTACAGCTACCATGTCTCTTACAGACCACTGTAGTCAGAGCTGTTACCTACAGCTACCATGTAGTCAGAACTATTACCTACAGCTACCATGTCTCTTACAGACCACTGTAGTCAGAGCTGTTACCTATAGCTACCATGTCTCGTACAGACCACTGTAGTCAGAGCTGTTACCTACAGCTACCATGTAGTCAGAGCTGTTACCTATAGCTACCATGTCTCGTACAGACCACTGTAGTCAGAGCTGTTACCTACAGCTACCATGTAGTCAGAACTGTTACCTACAGCTACCATGTCTCTTACAGACCACTGTAGTCAGAGCTGTTACCTACAGCTACCATGTAGTCAGAGCTGTTACCTACAGCTACCATGTCTCTTACAGCTACCATGTAGTCAGAGCTGTTACCTACAGCTACCATGTCTCTTACAGACCACTGTAGTCAGAACTGTTACCTACAGCTACCATGTCTCGTACAGACCACTGTAGCCAGAGCTGTTACTTACAGCAGATAGATCATTGTTCATGCAGGTTATTGTAGCCAGATCGATTTCCTTGGTGGTTCTTAACCAGGGTTCATAGTAGTAAGACACATGTTGAAATAAGGACTTATAAGACCCTTTCTGGAGGCCAAAATAAGACTTTTTTACACGATTTCTGATAGATCACCGACTATTAAAGTACACTAGCAATATTTATATACACAATTGCACAGCAGATTTAATTATTCCGTATTATATATACAACAATTCTTACTCTAAGTCGAGAAAAAATAAGGACTATTAAGTACTTTTCTAAGATTTCACCAAAAATAAGTACTAATAAGGGCCCTTATTTTATTTTTGGCAAAATAAGTACTTATAAGATTTTGGAAGACCCGCTACGAACCCTGTTAACGTGTCGGCCAACGAGATGATTTTAGATGTGTTCACTGGTTACGGACAGTTTTAAGAGACTGTTAGTAACTTTACTTTACAGTGGATGTACCAAGGAGGTGCCAGCTAGGATACACCAATGACCACAATTTGAATCGCATCAGATAAACATTATTAATAACCACTGCTTTATCTGGATGTACTAGTTCCTAGGTGCTGCGTCATATCTTGAATCAAATCATATATGGAATGCAAAGTCATTTATATTTATACTAGGGCGACAATCTCCTGTGGCTATTGGAGTCACCACCAAAACTCCAGCCATGGCCGGACAGTCATGACTTGACCAACAGCCAAAGAAATCAAGAACCAGACGTCACAGGACTTGATCCAAGACTGAAATGGCCCGTACAGACAACTGTAGCCAAACAACCACAAATAGCTGTATATTTTGACCTTGGAAGGTGCCTACTGGCCGGTGTCGCGCGAAATATCTGACGTGTGCGAAATATCTGAGATAGGATGCGTATGCGCATGCGTGCCGA